GCATGAGATGATGACAATATGATTGGTAACTTATATACATCTCTGTTCAGTGTTTATTCCTCCCCTATAAAAAAAAAATCTCATAATTTGTTTTTTTTTATTTTAAACATAAATAGCAATTTTATAAACTTACTTGCATCTTTTGGAACAAAAGAGTCAAAAGAATTACAAGTATGTACTTTCTGAATAGTCTCAAGTTTCAAGTTGGTTAGTTCTGCTTTTGGAGGTGGGAAAGCAGCTTTCCCTTTTCAACTAACAAATAAAGCATCAATTTGATAATTACTGTTAGACTCTTCTCTTGAAAGACAACCATAAAAATTAATGCCACTTTGGTGGGTTTCTATTTTTTTAAGGAAATTCTGCACTGTATTTATTTGAATGCTATGACACGAGAACAGAAAGCTGGCACACAAAGCCCAGCATGCTGACTCAGCGATGCAGCCATGGAATGGTAGAGGCAAATGGTCTCATTTATGTATGTGGAGGAAGCTTGGGAAACAATGTTTCTGGAAGAGTGTTAAATTCCTGTGAAGTTTATGATCCAGCCACCGAAACGTAAGTATTGTATCAATTCTGATTATTTTTGGTCACTTGTGGCTTTGCTCGGTCTGTAAATAGCTGTAGATGGATAGGAAGAATTGTGTGTGGTAAGGAATTTTCCTGAGTTAAGCAGTAATAAATCCATTATTTGTAGTTTTACTTAAAAGGCAGTTTTTCTTAAGCAGCTTTCTTCCATATTTCATTTTCCTAATGCTAGGTTTTATTTACATATTTTCTACTTATTTTCTAGGAACTAAATAGTGAGTTTTCCTGTTTTGTTTGGTTTTCTTTTTCCCCAGGTGGACTGAGCTGTGTCCAATGATTGAAGCCAGGAAGAATCATGGGCTAGTGTTTGTAAAGGACAAAATATTTGCTGTGGGTGGACAAAATGGCTTAGGTACTTTAATTCTATTAATTCTCTAGCTGGTCACACAAGGTTTCACAGGGGCCTTTTTTCTTTTACAAAGAATTCATTCTACTCTGTTCAGCTGAAAAACTTTGAGCAGTACCATAAAACATGTCCTGTTGTCACATCATTGTGGCTTCCTTTTTTCACCTCTGTACTTCACTGTATTGTATTTTTCAAACTTTTTTACTAATGACAGTACTGTCAAATTCAGATATGCACCCATACTGTAGCCCAGTTCTACAGTAGTTAATATGGCTAAACCAGTCATCTGAGAAAAGAGAAATTTTTTTATTTTTTTTTAGTTATTCATTATGTATTTTGAGAGTTTTTGGCATCCTTTTGAGAGACAGGTAAAGGTGTACCCACTATTTTAGGAACTTCAATCTAAAGACTTAAAGCAAGTCAGCTATTTTAAAGTGGTGAAAAAGTGAACTTTTTTTGACTGCCCTAGTTTTGAAATATGACTTACTATCATGGGCAGGTCATTTATGATCTGCCTATCTCCTTGTCTTTAAAACTAGAACAATAATAGTTTATTTCCCAGGAGAACTGAATTTTAATTACACAGTGCTTTTCAAAATAGAAAATTCTCAGCTATGTGGTTTATTAATCACTATGGTAATTGGAACATCTGATTTCAGATTAATGCTATTTTAGAATATAGCTTGTATTTTAATTAGCTACTAAACCTATTCCAGCATGATTGATTTCTAATGGAAAAATACCAGTAGATGCATTTGTTGCACAAACATTGTATCCATCAGTTATAGCCAGGGCTGCCATTTTGCAAAATGTTAATGTATTCGCCGCTCATTTTAGAAGTGTGTATTATTGAACCAATAAGTTAAAGTATTCTTTTACTGTTCATATTCTGTAGCCTGACTGATTAATTGTTCTTATTGTAATGTAATGGGGAAGAGTTATGTCTGGGGTGAAATATTCATATCTCTTAACATTATGTAAGGTTTCTTAATTTCTCAGATCTAATAATTCAGGACTGGAAGTGAAAACTGTGTGACTCCTATTAAAATTGTTAAATAGGGATAACAGGATGTTTGTAGATATTGTAAAGCGTAATTAGTAGCCTATTTCCTAAAGAAGCAAATCTTAGTCACAAAATCTATTCTTCTCTAATAACTTTCGATTCCCTTGGCCCTTTTAAACTTCAATTATTTTAATATCATAATGAAGACAGACATCCTCTATCAGTAAATGACCAATTTAGGTAAAGGTACTGGTGACTCCCCTAGAATAAAATGTCCTCACCATAGGCAAGTTTCATGGATTCCTGAGTTTAGTCACTAGCCACAAATCCATGAGAAATTTGGCATTATTAGTTCTTCTGTTCATGAAGTAACACACTGGAATCTCTAGAAAGCATATAATGTGAAATTTGTTAGAACACATCTCGCTTTCAGTCTCCTTTTTTACTTTTCTCTGTTTCTGTATTTATAAAAGGGTAAAACACTAAATTAGAAACCTGTGGCTTTTTTTCACAATTTTTTATTTTACTCTAGGGTTTGTGGTTTAATCTAAACCTTGAAAATAAAGACTGTTTAATGAAGCATTTGTATGCTCTAGTTCAGTCCATATGGTATAATGTAATAAGCAGTTATCTATCTCATTGCTTTGTAGGTGGCCTTGATAATGTAGAATATTACGATATCAAGATGAATGAATGGAAGATGGTGTCTCCAATGCCATGGAAAGGTGTAACAGTGAAGTGTGCTGCTGTGGGATCTATAGTCTATGTCCTGGCTGGTTTTCAGGGTGTTGGTCGATTAGGGCACATTCTTGAATATAATACTGAAACAGACAAGTGGATAGCCAACTCCAAAGTCCGTGCTTTCCCAGTGACAAGTTGTTTAATCTGTGTTGTAGACACTTGTGGGGCAAATGAAGAAACTTTAGAGACCTGAAGACCTGTAGGAGATGCTGAGACATTCTTCAAGGACTTGGGGAAAGATGGCTATCGGTGCTTTGCTTCCATGTTTTACTGAATCTTGTTAAACTGAGTAATAGGAAAACCTGAGATGCAGTCTTTGTATATACAGCATATTGTACAACATGGATTTTTGTCATGCCCATTTTCTTGTCTGTTTTAAGAGATGGGGATGTGTTTTGAGAATCCATTTACCTAGCTGAGATCATATGGCATCTTCCTTTAAAAGGACTCTGTGTGTGGCCTTGTCAAAAATAGACCAAATCCAATTATTTAGAACTGAAAGCATTTGATGAAGATAAGATTTCTGGTTAAATGACACTTTACCAAGCTCAGTGGCAGAGATTCTTCATTTAATAAAGGTGAGTAAATGCAGCTTGGGTCATGAGAAATATGAGCAAAAACTTTTCTCATTTATACTTACCTGCAGAAATCTTACTAGGATGCAGTGAAGATTTTTCCTCAGGAAAGACCACGGACAGCAGTGTAATAAAGATTCCCATGGTGAATGGGGACAGGTTATACAGCTCTCTAGATCGTGATAGCTGCCCTCTTCCAGTGACTTTCTTCCATCACTTGCATGACTGTGTACCAATTTTTAAAGTTAGACAGGCCATATATATAGACTAGAGAAACACTTTGCTAATGACATCTTTGGCGTTTTGGGGAGCTTTCAGAGAAAGACTTTTTTTTTTTATTATACTGAGGTAGGGGGATGGTGGGGGAAGTCCACAATAATTGTGCACTATAATTAGCAAGTTGGAAACTTGGGATTAATTTTCAATATATTTTCCCAGGCATCAGACTGTACGTACTGTGGATGCCAAACCATTAGCAAAGATGGGACTAGGAATGGGAAAGCAAAGTCAATACAACAAATGTATTGATTTTCTTCTTGAAAATGACTGTTTTTAAGATGGCATGAACCAAGTCATTAAAGATACTTTATAGAAGTCTTCTAAAGTTGCACATGGTTATTAATCTCTGGTTTATAAGCATATAGCTCTGTAAATGTTTCCAGCTGCCATGATAGTAAATTTCTTCCAGTGTAGAAGTTCAGCTTGTCAAGCTATTGGTGTCAATTCTGTGTACATCTTCCAACTTCCAGAGAACTATACAAGAAATGTCTGTACATCTGTCCCGCTCCCATGCTAGTTTATTAGTATCTTCATCCTAATTTTGTCACCCCTCTTCTAACTTGCTAATTTTTTCTAGATCTGTTTCTAAGAGACTACTGAGTTGACTTAAAGTTGGTGCTTGCCTACCTGTACCTTATGCATCGCTGGTGGTGTGGATTTTTAGTCTGTTTTATTTCTGAAGATCCCTCTAAGTTCTCCTAAGTAGTATAAATTCCAGTTTTCAAAGTCAGTGCTGCTTTGTAGACTTCCTCCTGGTTTTCTTCCTCATCGTGACAACTCCGCATGTACAGAAAGTTGTAGATGCAGTCACAGGCTTAACAGTGGTTCTGGCAACTCAGTTCTTTATTCAGTAGTAAGTGAATGCTACGGAACTTTTTTTTCCTGTTCCCACTTGCCTTTCCCTTTTCCTGAGCTGTGAAACAAACGTCTCGCTGGTGTCTCCGATCCTCAGTTCTAAAATACTGGAGCGAACTGTGCACGTCTTGGGTTGTACAGGCCGTTTGATTTTTTTTTTTTCTTTTTCCTTTTTAATCTGCTTTCAGAACTGTGAAGCACCTTCTTCTAACTTTATTTCCGAGGGGTTAATAATTCCTTTTAAGCTACTGCAAAAGGTCTAAGGACGAAGAAGGAAAGGACTTGCGAGAAGTAGCTTGTCCGGGAATACGGCCGCGCCGGCCGCCCTCTCCCGGCGGCCGGGCTGTGCGCCGCTCCGTGAGGGCTCGGCCTTTGCGGAGAGGGGCCGCGTCGCGATGCTCGCCGCCGGGCAGCCT